TGAGGAAAATTAGGGGTAGTCATAGGTACCATAATGGCTATAACAAGTATTTTGTGCTAATGTGATTGAGAGTAGGGGTGTTACAAATTCTATGAAACTCCAGATAATGATGGAAAGTTCATGTTTTTATTAATTTTGTTCTTTCTTTATTGGTTTGTTACTAATAGGCCCGAATGGGATTTTCAGGACCGTTTATGGATGGGGAGACAAGTTTAGCTGTTTTATGTAAGCTAACTGTTTCTGACCAGGGGGACGAAGGCTGGTTATTTTGAGAGACAGATTCATCATCACTTTTCCTAAAGACTTAGGAGCATTGCCAAGCATGTGGCATTTAGACACGTCTCGAAAAACATCAAAACATCCTACAAAATATAGGTATAAATCGACACACTATTTTGATCTCTAAGTTCGGTGCCTTTCCATAATAAGCAGAATGTCGTCTTTTGGTGTAGTCAAATCATTGCCAACACAAACTCTGCAACTGAAAGTTTAGAGCACGAGACAGTAACATGATCGATTTCTATTGTTTAGAGTACCAACTTGGAATTGTTCCATTGTTAGTCTCACATTTTCAACCTCAAAACGATCTCTGATAAAATAAAAAATGCTTCGAAACCTTGTTCCCTCTGACAACATCAGTACCATTACCAACCCCTATTACCAACCCCTGTCTCTTCTTATCCATGCTAGGGTTGCCCAAGTTTTCAATTGCAACCTCCAATTGGGACTTCCCCAAATTGACGGTAAGAGCATCCCCCAGTGCCATATAGCTGCCGCCGAAAGGCAAGTGCGTGGCATTACTGATCAGCTCCAATGGCTAATCACTAAGCACGAACCTCTCTACCGTTTGCTTCGATCGGCAAACATAGCCAACTAGATACATGTTATCCCGTCGGAATGCTACAGAAACTTACTTTCTTTCAGCTCCCTTCAAATAGAATAAAACCCTGAACACAGCTATCCTCATACCTTCCATATCTGTTTCTTCAGGGTGCATAACTCGGCATCCCATGATTTCACGGTAGTTTATACTCTCGTTCTTCAAGGACGCTTTCTCCCTCATATACCGAATTAGGCGATTGTATATGGCTAAACTGACACAATTACAAACTCCTCTTCAAAGTAAGAGAAGATGCAAACAATATTGGAATTAAATTAGAGATATTCCATTCCTTTCTCGGAACCGCAGTGAAAAAAATGACGACATCTCAGTACACATTAACCCTAATTTTCATTCAAGGATGAAAATTATTGAAACAGGTTAGGTTGCTCAAAAATTAAAATTTCTTTGAACAAATTGAGAGACAATGTCGGAAGAAAATTAGATAAATTCGCGTTAAATTTTGTCCAGTTGATTTTTATTTTCTTCTTTTCATTATAGAAAAACAGTAAAACTTGAGACTTGAGAGGAGCTCCTTTACGGAACGAATTTCAAGGATAAAAATAACTCAGGGTTGATGATTGTGATTTTTATTTTTTTTTTTCGTAATTTTTCCATAATAAAAGTTACAATTATTAATTGAATATTACTTACTATTCATAGAATATGAACTACCATTTTGTTTTGAAAAATGTGCCATTTTTTTCCTCTACGCGACTCCTACACTTACGCACTCGACTCTTATTCTCTCGATTCATACTCTAACCAAATTATTATTGTAACAAAAGAAAACCAAAGAACATGAAAATGCTGTGAAATTGAAACACAAGGAAGATACAATCGCCTAATTCGGTATATGAGGGAGAAAGCGTGCTTGAAGGACGAGAGCATGAACTACCGTGAAATCATGGGGTGCCGAGTTATGCACCCTGAAGAAACAGAGATAGAAGGTATGAGGAGAGCTATGTTCAGGGTTTTATTCGATTTGAGGGGAGCTGAAAGAAAGCAAGTTTCTGTCGCATTCCGAAGTGATAACATGTATCTAGTTGGCTATGTTTACCGATCGAAGCAAACGGTAGAGAGGTTCGTGCTTAGTGATCAGCCATTGGAGCTGATCAATAATGCCACGCACTTGCCTTTCGGCGGCAGCTATATGACACTGGGGGATATTTACCGTCAATTTGGGCAAGTCTCAATTGGAGGCCGCAATTGATAACTTGGGCAACTCTAGCATGGATAAGAAGAGACATGGGTTGTTGGTAATGGTACTGATGTTGTCAGAGGGAGCAAGATTCCGAAGCATTTTTGATTTTATCAGAGATCGTTTTGAGGTTGAAAATGTGAGACTAACAATGGAACAATTCCAAATGTTGCACGAGTGGGGTAAGGCATCCAAGGCACTATTGGCAAGTATGAACCATGCCGACCATGATAGATATACGGCAATCGCCGAGGTAGTCGTGCTGAAGACTTTGGGTATCGCCTCCGAAATGATGTACCTGGTGAAGAACTCGACTCAACAAAATCCTAATTCTAGGTATGAACATATGTTTGAGTGTGTCTTATAATTTTTTAGTGTGCTTGTGTTGGATTTAGTAAAGCTGAATATAGTATTATCATTTGTTAAACCTTTATAAATATCGATTGAACTCCAGAATTTGCGTTTGAATCTGATGAAAATTGAGACCGATTAGTTTGGTTATACGTAGTTCTTGCTATTTTCGTTGTTAAGCTGACCTTGAGCGGAGATTTTACACTTTATGGAGCAGAAAAATATGTTTAATTTTGGTTGTTATGCACTAGCCTGAACGTACTTTGATGATTCAATAGATGCAGTTGATTTTTTGTCCCAGTTATTAGTGATTGATGAACTATGCTTGGAGAGAACTCTTTTTGAGTGTGTGTAATATAAGTACAATAATGTATGTTAAAGCTTATCGCCCTTCGTACATATGAAATTGTTTTTTGAATATAAAAAACTTTCAATACCCTGTAAAGCCTAGCATCCACACAATTGAGGAAAATTAGGGGTAGTCATAGGTACCATAATGGCTATAACAAGTATTTTGTGCTAATGTGATTGAGAGTAGGGGTGTTACAAATTCTATGAAACTCCAGATAATGATGGAAAGTTCATGTTTTTATTAATTTTGTTCTTTCTTTATTGGTTGTTACTAATAGGCCCGAATGGGATTTTCAGGACCGTTTATGGATGGGGAGACAAGTTTAGCTTTTTTATGTAAGCTAACTGTTTCTGACCATTGGGATAATTAGCAATGGATTCTAATTCAAATATATATGAAGGCATAATGATAAGAGTGTTACCGGGTTTTTGGTCACAGGATTATAGGTTCCTCCAATTTTTTTTTCTGTGGCACATGAAAAGAGTTCAAGGCTGGTTGATTGTTAGCACTATTCTTACTAGATGAGTAGATTCTTTCTCCAAAAATGAGGTGTCTCCTGGTCCTTTTGTGCCCAGCATCATGATTTTCATTGGGTGATTCAAGGAATGTGTGATTTAGGTAAGGCTGTGGGTAGCATGAGGTAATGTTATTGTGGTTTTGTTCGGGGTTTGTGGTGCCTGGGGGACGAAGGCTGGTTATTTTGAGAGACAGATACATCATAACTTTTCCTAGAGACTTAGGAGCATTGCCAAGCATGTGGCATTTAGACACGTCGCGAAAAACATCAAAACATCCTGCAAAATATAGGTATAAATCGACACACTATTTTGCTCCCTAAGTTCGGTGCCTTTCCATAATAAGCAGAATGTCGTCTTTTGGTGTAGTCAAATCAATGCCAACACAAACTCTGCAACTGAAAGTTTAGAGCACGAGACAGTAACATGATCGATTTCTATAGGATGCCCTATTATTTTTTTTTAAGTGTGATATCAAATGTCAATATGATTATCTTGCTTGGCTATAATTTCCGGTGTACCTGTTATTGCTTTAACTGTATGTGGAAATTGATAACCCCCATTTTCCTTGATATTTTTTATGGCATTTTAATGGTGAAAAGGTTGCAGTCTTAAGCGTTCAATCGAGCTTACTCTTATTATTGTTTGTATAATACTACTTTTCTTTTTAAAGCATAGCTTTGAATCAGTTTGAGCAGTTTTTTGGTGATTGATTTGCGAGATAGAGGTCAGTGTTGTTGTTTACCAGTCTGTTTTTCCTTTTGCCTGTTCTTTTTATGGTTTAATTTCTTTTATTCTCGTTTTTTTATCTAAATGGAACTAGTCTGGTTTTTTCTTTTGCCAGGTGAAAAGTGAAGTAATAGCTATGAGGAAGAAGTTAAGAAGATGGAGGTTGAATGTTGGTGTCAAAGGGAAAATTAATAGTATTTCTGATGAGATTTTAGATGAGCACATATTTTGTTAATGAATGTTGCAAAGTTCGAATCAATTTTGCCAAAATATTGATCCTTCGAGTACTTGTAATTAAGGGCGGTTTGATATTTTCGTTTATGAATTGTTAGATGAGCACTTATGTTTGTAAAGGGATGCTGCTAACTTCGAATCAATTTGCCAAATATTGATCCTGCGGGTACTTGTAATTAGATGAGCACTTATGTTTTTAAGGGATGCTGCTAACTTTGAATCAATTTGCTAAATTGATCCTGGCGGGTGCTTTTTTAGTATTTTCATTTAGCTGCATGTTCATTTTCTGTGCAAGTTCCCTTACAATTTTAGTATTTTCGTTTAGCTGCATGTTCATTTTCTGTGCAAGTTCCCTTACGATGTATGATGCAAACGAATCTTGTTCGTGGGTGTCGTCTGCCATCATAGCTGTGGAATCATTAGAGTAGTTTCTGAAAGACTACATTTGTAAGATCAATCAACTCTCGAGACTGCAAATTATTGGTTAAACTTGTTTGAGGAGAGCATAATAAACTCTGGTAAGTGTTGGCAAGGAGATTAGACAGTAACTGACTCCAATGCCTATAAATTCTTGAGACTATTCTTGAACCAAGAGCCAATAAATTCTGTGTACACAACTCAACAAGTTGCAAGACAATCAACATATATACACTTGGCAAGATTTCTTCTCACAGTACACTACTGCCCAAAACTCTGAATGAAATTTACACAACCGATATAAAACGTGAATTTCACGCTTCACCTATCCTGACTACCTGCAAGACGAACCTTATCGAGCGAATCCTTAAATGCTTGGCAAGCCACCATTCGATGATCTCTCGAAACCAGCCCCTCCGAAACAACCTGCATGGCCCGCCTGTACAAATGTTGGTACCAGTGAACAGGGTTACTAATGTCTATACCGTTAGAACCAAGGTCAGGATAGTAAATGCGCTTAGTATCCTTCCTCCACCGAGATAATACATACTGCTTAGGTATCTCTTCAATCCCGTTGTAATTTAGCACACACAAAGCGTGCCGGCACAAATACCCTCTCATATTAAAGCACCCACAGATGCAACGAACTTCCGTCCCAACTTTATCATACACAACTTCGAAATTCTTTGCCTCATTGGGGTGGACCTCAGTATTCTGTTCTTTGACTATGTACGTGAGGACATGTCCGTTTGCCTGAATTTGGGTCACGCTAAAGCAACGGGACATGAGTACAACCTCTTCTTGGAATTTCAAGAATATCTCTTTGGTGTACAGTTGAGAAACCGGGAATTCGTAGCTACACGTCGTCAATAAAACGGGCGTAAACTCTCTCGACTCAGAATCAGCTAGAGCTTCCTTCACAATCGTCTTCTGTTGTAGTAATTCATAACAAGTGAAAAAATCTTCCCAAGTCATTCCATCGCGTAAATACCCATGGAAATATGACATGTTCGTGAATTCACCTGGCTGGAAAATGAATGCCCCAGCAAAAAAAGTGCTCCTTTTCGTGTAAACCGGGACCCACCTTTCCCGGTCTTTGTACAAGCGCTCAAGCCATTCGTGGTCTCCCAGAGCAAAATGCTGAACCATTTCCTCCCACCCCATTTCAAATTCTTCGACTTTATTGGATTCGTACACGTTTCTGTTCAGGACTGTTTGAAATAATTCCGACGCGCCCAATACCCCTAATTTTTCATAAATAATTTGCACGACAAGGGATGGGCAGAGACGGTGAACAGCCCTCGGGAAAACCTCAGATATCGCACCCCACAATGCAGTGCACTGGCCCGTAGTAATTATCGTCTGTGGAGCACGCCCGGACATGCATGCGATCCACGTCCTCATCAGCCAAACATATGTCTCGATACTTCCATCCGCGAGCAAACCGCAACCGAGCAGTACAGGCTGGCAATGGTGGTTCAATCCACTGAAGGACAAAACAGGAATTATGCCATCGTGCTCACTCGAAACACGCTCCGCGTCTACCAACACCACGTCCCCAAAATATCTGTACGCGGCCCTCGACCGGGAATCCATCCAGAACACATTCCTCAAATACCCCTCGTCGCTAAAATCCATAATGTAGAAAAAGTTCGGGTCCGCCAGCTGCGCCCGCCGAAAAAAACCGTGAAGAGCCTTTAAATCTCTATTTTTAAATTTCAACCGTTTCGATTTATCCACGTGACCATCGGGTTCTCTCTCATCATGACTCGCGCAATCAACATGTGGGGCTCGGTAAAGCTTGATTGTGCAGACTTCGAGATGGGCAGCTGGCTCAGGTTTCCTTTTGGTCCCGATTTCCATCTTCTTGTGCGACCTTGAGCTCTGTGCCCTCTGGTGGTCAAACAAATGGTTGTGCTGTAACTTAACCTCATCCAATCTCCATCTGCTGGACTCAAGCAGCCTCAGCCTTAACATGGCCAGGCACCCAGTCCGTGTCTCCTTCCTCTTCATGCTCGTTTCCTTTGGCGTCTTGAAACCCTCACAATTGCAGCACAGCACGGCCCCACGCTTCTCCTTGCTGTTACGCTTTGTCCACGAGGATTTGACCCGAATGCCAAACCCAACCTCTTTTGCATAGCAGTTGTAGTAATTGTATGCGTCGTCATAGGATTCGAACTCCATTCCCTCCACAGGCGGTGGATATGACTTTTCTTGTGCACACTGGTTAATATTATAGCTATTGTTATTATATTCAGCATCTCTTGACTTCGCGCTAATGCTGGTTGTGGAATCAGGCGCATGCTCGTTTTCATTTTCAAGGTCCACGAGTATTTGGTCCTTGCCGTTTTCTATTCCGATGTTTTCTATTTGGTCGAGCTCATCGGTTTGTATCCCCAAGCCATCAACGCGTTCGTGGCCCAGCCGTTCTTGGCTGTTGTTGGAACCTTCTTCAACCTAACATAAAGACAAAAAATACAAGGCATCGGCAAAGTATATGTTGAATGGAGGTTCATAAGTTCAGCAAGTGAACTCAGTCGAATCCGATGATAATAAAAGACGAGTAGCACGCCGATAGCAGACAAAGCAATTTCCTCTCTGGAAACAACACTTTACCAGAATGCAACATACATTTTTAGTTCAAAATTCTCAGAATTCATTCGACTAACAATGATAGACCAACTAATGAACAAGATATTAATCGAACAAACCAAACTTCGACAATCAAACAAATTGGGGAATCAATATTGATGTGTTGGAATTCAAATTTTGATCACAAAAGGCCGAATTAATAGTGCAAATAATACTAAGCCTGTGCATTTGTGAGGTTCCTGTGGAAGAGCCATTGTTCTCAGCCTTACATCTCCATAACTAAACTTCAAATCACAGTCATCTGTGCGTGTATATATATGGCCCCAATTTGGGTAGTGTGTGAGCGGTGAGGTGATACAGTCATCGGGTGGTGAACAATTCGAACCTCACGGCACATAAGAATAAGTGATTAAGAAGGTCTTACAGTGATTTCGAAGCCGGAATCCGGCGAGAAACCCTCATCGGCGGGAGACGGGACGGTATCGTCGGCCATATCAGAAGCTGGGGTTGACGTTTGTTGCGTCAAAGTCTGTGGAGATTAGCTTTTCCACTTGTTAGTCCTCGTATTTCAATGTATTTGCAATTACTAATTATAGACTAGACATAAAAGGGCATTATGGTCTTTGGATGGTATGAGGCTCAGTATCAGTAAGTGGTGGACGTTATAATTTCAGCCCCCTCCATCACTTGCTCCTCACACGCCGATCGTCGTACCTCCACCACCGTCCGTCCGCCTCCTTACGCCGCCGGGATGACTTTTTATCTTCTCTCTCATACTACTCCGCCGGCGCCGCCGCTGCTGGCGTCCCCGACGGTTTCTGCTTTCTCTTCGACCAGTTTATTAGCACAGAGAAGATTCGCACGTACGATTGCCAGGGCTTCTGAAGACGACGATGGCAAACCAGCTTTCAATCCGTTCGGATTTGTCACTGATAATCCGTCGAGCCGCAGCGCCATTCAGCTACCCGAGTCTCCCGCCGAGGACGGGAATGTCGGGCAAATGCTCTACGTAATTACTCTGATTTATCTCCTTTGTACTTTTCTTAATTCGTGTTTATTCCTGTTTCTTGTTGTTAGCATTGTAATACTGATGTTCACTTGTGAAGAGCGTATTTCCACTCATTATTATTTGGTTGATTAATGGATGTTGCTTCCTGACTTCCTATTGATTTTTGATAGGATTATTATCTGGTCTTGAACATTAGTAACTTGCTCTAGCTTCATAGAGAGAGGTTTGATTCGGTGGAATTTGAATTAAACCTGGAGCTTGCAGGATAATTTGATGTTCTTTCTTTTCCTAAGACTATGCGAAGAGTTCAAGTACTGATACCTTTAGTTATTAATCAATATTCCGGCTGCAATTTTTTCGTTTTAGTGTAATTTGAGAAGATTGTTATATGCTCTTATTAAGTGCCTGCAAAAATTTGGAATCGTTATTTTGAATTCAGAGATATGAACTGATTGTATAATTTGTCATGTTTAATTTGAAGAGAATAGAAGACAAGGGAAAAGAGTATGGCTCTTATATTAAATCTGGAGGATTTCGATGGTTTGTGAGAGAAACAGGTAAATTTCATTGCTAATAAGTATTTCTAGTTGAAATAGAAACCTAGATTTTTTTGTGCCAGTTGAAATCAAACCTAGTTTTTTCTTTTTGCAGGATCACCCGAGAGCAGGCGTGGAACCATTGTGTTTCTCCATGGAGCCCCAACACAGTCCTACAGCTACCGGGTCGTTATGTCTCAGGTCTTGTTTGGTGATCTTGGACTCAAGTTAACTTTTTGCATGAAAATTTTGTGGACTTCTTTAAGTATAGTGTTTCTCGTTTTCTCTTTGTCACCGTCTTTGTTCGTACTACAACGCAGAATGAATATTCAGACTTCGATCATGTCTTTAAATAATTAAATTATAGTATTGAGGTCCGTTCAGTAACAAATTTTGTTTGTCTTTATGTTTATTGATTTCGGAGGCTCTCTTTCTTTTGTAGATGGCAGAAGCTGGGTTTCATTGCTTAGCACCTGACTGGATAGGATTTGGGTTTAGTGAAAAGCCTCAGGCTGGATATGGATTTGACTACACAGGTTTTTACTTTTTTTTTTTTTTTGTTATTCAAATATTTGATTGAATGTGGTATTGGGATTTATTGATAGGCTTCTGAATTTTCTGAAAATTGTGTCAACAGAGAATGAATTCCACGAAGTATTTGACAAGTTACTGGATGCTCTTGGGATAAATTCTCCTTTTTCTCTTGTAGTTCAGGTTTGAACCTCTCACTTATTCCACCGATGATCAAATATATTTAGTTTCACACTAGAGGCTTTCTGACAAAATAATACTACTATAAGTGCAAATTTGAAACTATCATCAAGCCTTAATCTTAGTTTGTACCTAAATTCATTTATCCTCCGTCTTGCTTTGGTAGGGATTTCTGGTTGGATCCTATGGAATGACTTGGGCTTTAAAAAATCAAAGCAAAATAACAAAGCTTGCAGTCCTGAATACCCCATTGACCAGCTCATCCCCACTTCCTGGACTATTTCAACAACTCAGGTTTTACTTTTAGTTAACAATAGTGTACCTATTTCTTGAAGAGGCATCTTTCTTTTTTGTAATTCACAATCATTTTCGTTTAGGATACCTCTTCTTGGTGAGTTCACTTGCCAGAATGCAGTTATGGCTGAGCGTTTCATTGAAGCAGGTAGCGCGTACGTATCAGATTTTCATCTATAAAAAAGAACATTTATTTCTACCCTGTTTTTCAAAATTTCTTGAGTTTTGGTTTTTTTGAACTCAATATAGTCATGAGGGCTACATACTTTATGGAGGTTTGTGCTACCATAATCACTGTTAAGTGGCATAATTAGTTATTCTTACTTAAAACCTCCACTTGATTAACTCTCTCTCTCTCTCTCCCTCTCTCTCTCTCTCTCTCTCTCTCTCTCTCTCTCTGTGATAAAAAGTTACTTTTCCATGGCAGCTATGTCTTGAAGCTAGAGAAGGCAGATGTGTATCGTTTACCATACTTATCCAGCAGTGGACCAGGATTTGGTTAGTTATTTTATGAGATATGCAATAAACTCATACATATTAATAATTGTTGTGGAGATTTTTGTGGTACCATTGCTTCAATTAATCAAGATGTTTTCAGAACATACATGGTTCATGCAGTAGTCCTGAAATATTTAAGCGTAATACATTACCGCCATCAGATTTAGTTTTTGAGAGAGAAGAGGACTGTTCCCAGTTGTATGTCAAGTAAATTGTTCTCTTGAGTTCTATCAAATATCGTGATAATCGTCCTCTATGTACAGAGACATTCAAAATACTTGGGATTTCATAATTATGTGATATGAATCTTCTCTGGTACTCCAGCTCTTCTTGAGGCTACAAAACGAGCCAACTTCAAGGATATCAATAGCAGAATATCAGCCGGGTTTGCATCCGGAAGGTAATATCAAAGCTATCTGAAAGATGCATTATTTAGTCCTATCATAATGCATGTTCTTGCCACTTGTCTTTTGCTTATCTATAGTAAAATTCGGAACACTTAACAATTTGTACAAATTTCTCAAAAAAGAAAACTGTGTTTTCCCTCTTTCTTTTAAATGTTGTTACCTGTCGATTCTGACTTCAGCTGGGACAAACCAATATTGGTTGCATGGGGAATATCAGACAAATATCTTCCCCAGTCAGTGGCGGAAGAATTTCGGAAAGGCAATCCCGATTCAATAAAGCTCAAGTTGATTGAAGGTGCTGGCCACATGCCACAGGAGGACTGGTAAGCCAATAACCCGATACGTGTTCATGTATAAAGACAGTTCTGTGAATATTTCCAGCTCTTATCTTCTGCACATTTTGGTGTCAACAGGCCAGAAAAAGTTGTCGATGCCTTGCGACTATTCTTCTGATGCGCTACTTATTTCTGCTGAAACACGATAAAGTCGGCTATCATCTTTTCTTTGAAGGTAGACAATGGCTTCTAAAGCTAATGTATGTATCTATGTATCTGGTATGATGTTGGAAATTCAAACTTTACAATCAGTACAATCTTAAAAGTGTAAATTGTTTGATAGAAAAATGAAGATGGGATAGATCACATATAGATATCCCAGTTCTCTTCATCTGGAGGCATCCGACATTTTGAACATTTTTAACTAGAAAAGTAGTTTACGATGGACACTGCAATTCTGGGTTTAAAAAATGAAATAAAGATAAAATAAACATTAAATAATAAAAAAAAATCGACCCATAATTTACACATTACACGATATCCACATTCAATTCGATACACAATCATTATCTTAGTTATGTAGATGTGTTATATTCACCTTTTTCACAAAAAAAAATGAAAATTACAGCACTATTTTTTATATAAAAATCAAAGATAAAATTATATGTATCCATCGCAATGTTAAGGCTATCATATCCATAATAAATGCATCCGTCAGAAGGAAGAAAGAAACGCGAAAAAGAAAAAGAAAGAGAGAAAGGAAGCCACATAGAGAATGTGCAGAGTTTGGCTCTCCCATATGAACGTCGAAGAGGACGATCGAGGACGACCCCGTAACTTCATATGCACACTAACTGCAAGCTCATAAGCAAGATATGTGAAAGTGGGACTTATAGCTGGAAGTCTGGAACCATACGAGTTAAACCATGCAGCCTTTTCAACCCAAATTAGGAACTAGAAAGCATTTTAAGCCTACTTATAAAACCCCCTGGAACAGAAAAAGGTTAGCTTCATAAAATCCACAAAAACCATTGATTTTCAGTAGGCATCTCCAAAACATGAACAAGTAGCATGTAGCAAACCAAAATGATCGCACACATTAGTTGATAAGTACATCAATTCGATTTTATCTTCGGCTTCGCATTTCGGTTGGAAGCAGCCCTTTTCTTGGACGACACATCAGCCTTCGCCCGTTACGCATTCCTTATCCCCTCAGTCTCTTTTTCACTCTCATCACCAACATTGTCACTCGACTTGCTGAGGTCATCATCATCATTATCATCATCATCACTTTCCTCGTGCTTTCTCTTTGCGGGAGCACTTTTCCCCCTCGTCTGTCTCCCTTGACCTCCTCCAGTCTTTGCATTACGCTTACTTTTAGCAGGATTGTTTTTAGCACCTTTTGAAGTCTTTCTAGACACATCAGCAGCACCATCACTATCATCTTTATCATTGGAATCATCTTCTATGCTTTCACTGACCTCTTTCTTTGGAGGGGCTTTCTTGGCTCGACTAGCAGTATTCTTCTTCCCTTTCACGACTTTGGGTTTCTTAGGCTCGTCCTTGTCCCCTGACTCGTCATCACTGTTGCCTTTACTAGCAGCGGCAGACTTGGACGGTTTGGCTGCCTCTTTCATGGCTTGATTGCCGGTTAACTTTTGCAAATCAGGGACATATGCAGTTGTCTGCAAAAAGATGAAAACATTTTTCAGGAAATAATGCTAAGTGAGAGAACATGAAATGCAAAGGACTTGTCCAGAGACTTACTCTGCCGCCAGCATTGATGAAATCAATTTTCTTCCCTAATAACATGGAAAATGGCATTAGCATTTCACATTAGCAGATGAAAAATCTAATGATACAGGGTAAGATCATTTAAATTGCAACTAAAAGGCAAAATGAAATTTCTATATAATTTTCAACCTAAAAAAAATTATCCAGACATTTCCAACTACTTGCATGATCTTACGGAACCTTACAGAGACAATGTGGAAACCCAATTTGGAAACGAAAAGCTGTGCAGCAACACATATGTTGCAAGGTTGACGGTTAGGTGTTAATTTAAACCAAATGCACGTGAGACATGCCAGGTACAAGAGAAAGATGTCCTCTATCAAGAAATATGAAATATTAAGGTTGTGATTGGACAAGCCTTCATTTCCTTCACTTTCTTTTCTAAAAAGAATTGTGTGGAATACGTATGGGAGTGTGATTGCTTGTGAGAGGGTAATGTAATGATGATAGTTCATGTACAAAATAAGTTGTATAAACATTGGAAATTTGATTGGAGTATATGTATAGTAAAAGTTTAGGGAAATTTGTGATGCAATAATGTTTTTTTTTTCTAAAATTGTGCAAATACGTGATGTAAAAAACGAAAAAATTACATATTTGTGGTAAAATTCTTTTCGAAGTGTGATAAATAAGAATCATTTTCGCATCCAAGCGCAACCATTGATTCTTAAGCTTGAGGTAGCACTAGCTATTTTTTCAACTTAATCTAATTTTCTACATAACTGCAGGCAGAAAAGAGTAATGCACAGTTCAAGAGTCGAACCATCTACAAAAGCCTTGCCAGGCTTTTTTTCCCGAGAATGGAAAATCCAATTGCCTGGGAACTGACTACTGTCGGCCCCAACTTCAATTGACTTCTCAATCACCTGTAAAATAAACCATTAGTTACATTCAATCAACTAGGCTAAAACCATCTTACCATTAACTTTTCCTGGCTTTTTGCCCCAGCGAAAATGAAACAACCATCCAACAGGGAAGCGGAGACTGTCAGCATCAACTCTAACGGCAATTTCCGTAACCTAAAAGTTCCGTCTCCAGTAACAGCCATATCGAATGCAAACTTAACTAAAAGAAAATACGAAGATAATAAACATTTATGCATGAAACCAACCTCATGAATGCTCTTGAGCAAGGTTGCACAGCTTTCTTTGGATATGCTGGAAGCGATTTGCAGCGGATGGATTCTTGCCTGTTAAATCACAATGTGTATATACATATTGTCAATTTTGAACACAGTGAGGAAATAACAGAAAACGTGTTTCTGAAACAAATGTGTAAGATGAAGTTCCAAATTGCCCATATTGGTGGCAGCTTCAGCGCTGTTAAAGTTTCCTATTCCCCATACTGTGTAAAGTGAAGTATCGGAAGCACGAACAAATGCAAGTCTCACAGGTCACTTTCGGTTTATCATGGGCACTGCCACGATACTTGCTTAGAAAAGAGTCCTAGGTTAAATAAACCGTGGAGGGATCCAATTACTGAACTGAATCTGCCTACACTAGTAGAACTACATTGTAATATCTTTATAGTAAGGCAAAATATGGTGGGCGGAGAACAAAGAATCACTAACTTGATAAAGAACTTCATCAGCCATCCAATTACCGATCCCTGACATAAAGCTCTGCATAAATAACGATGATCTAGTGATTTAAAAAATAAAATGCTAACACTTAAATAAATCTGATACATCACACTGAAGTTCGTCTCCTACAACTCCGTAACATAAACCCATGATTAATTTACGTGTTCGGCACAGCCGCAAAAGACAAAGAATCGTAATAATAACGGATTAGCAACTTCAATGAATTTACATCACAATCCAACTCTAAATATGAATGCACCCTGGAGATAAATTTTCAATGTTGTAGGGATGCACAAAATCGGAACAACAATCCTCGAGCAAAATTTTTGATCAAGCAAGTCTTTTCATCAATGTGCACTGGTTAAATTCAGTTGCATCAGTAACTTAAATGTGATATCATCAGACAAAACAGAGTAATTGAGTCAAATCTTGAAACATCAATACAGAGCATCTATTTACGGGGAAAAAGCGCATGGGGTAACAAAATAAACAGATACTACGAATTTTTATTCTAGAGGTTTTCTAATACCCACACAAGACTTAGTGAAACCATCGAGACCTGGTCAAGTAAAAGCCCCTTAATTCCAATTTTCTTCTTGCTCAATGAGTTGTAGAAACCATCTACCGTCATGGGTTCCGTCAGTGCATCAGGACCAAGCTCAGAAATTGGGGACACAGAAATAGGCTGTAGAAGAATCATCGTAAAAGCATCTTGAAAAGTCCAGATTGAATAAAAAGAACACCATGAAGGCTGCAGAAGAATGAATAGTTGAGCTTTCACATTACATTGTCAAGCAAACAAACTTTAGCAAACCGCCTCTTGTCCGTGAAAGAAAATTCCAAACCATCATCTAGCTGCACCATAAATGAAACGGAGTAATTTAAACATTCATATACCCAAGGCATTACTTGTGTCTAATTTCCAAACTAAAATTAATGAAATGACTCTAGCTGTTTGTTCCAAGTGTGCCATAATAATATCCTGACAAGTGACAACAAATGGAGACATATACTACATCACCGTCCCAGGAAAACGAAATTCTGCAACCAGTAACATGACAAGACAAATGCATAAAAAATACACAAACTTACATCTTCGGTGATGCATATAGGAACAAATGCATACATGCACATAATTCTGTTATTCTTTTATTTTTTTTCATTTTTTTACTTGTTTGTTTGAAAAATAGTGACAGTTTGTGTTCAAGTTAGGCTTGCTGGAAGCAAGACCTGGTTCGTAAACTTCCTGATGATCCAATATAAACTTGCTAGATTAGATTGTGTTTTATTATTTCACCAAGACCAGCAATAGCAACTCCAGTCAAGGAATGCAATTCTCACTTCAACGAACAATTTGGAATACTTGGAAGGCCACTCATCAGTATCTTGCACAGCAGACCTGAAAAAGCATGACAGGCGATTACAATAATAAGTAATAAACAACTTTACACTGACAGGCTAAATAATGCTACCACATTTATGAATTGTCTAATTCTAACAAAATTTACTCCCTACCACCTCACCTTTTCAGTCGTTTTCGATTGTACAACTATAATCATAATTCAATCTTCTTCCCGTATGGCACTTGAAAGTTCAGTGACATGCAATATTGCATTCTGATTTTCAAATGTTACTTTTGGATATTACATAGGGTGGTTTTCTCTATTATTGAGTTTTGTCCATCATAAACATATCAAATACGTACAGGAAGAAACAATTAACCAATCTCAGCATTATTGGAAAAGTTACATCTCTCTGTAAAATATTCTTAATTATAATAGCATACTATCGCGTCATAATGAGCCAACCCCACTTACCGCTTGTATTTAGTGACTGCAACTCCCTTGATATACACAGCTCCCGCCATTCCTATAAAAGGCAAAAGGCAAAAAATAAATCATGATTTTGGAAAGCATATTATAGCCAAAAGAGAAACAAATCATTTAATTTTTTCTTTGATTTAGAGTACTCCAATGGATAAGCATCTACTTGACCAGATTAACCATTCTCTGGATCCAGGAATATGTACACTAGAGTCCCCTTGACCTAATCAGAGCTATGAAAGCCAAATCAAAAAAAAATATCGATTGTCTTAGCAATAGATGCATAATATTTTCAGAATACACATAAAAGTCTTAATAGCGAACACTTTGCATCTACATAACCAATAAATTGTTCCATTAATTCTGCACATGTGCAATTTCACTCTGGTTAAAGCTATCCCAAACATATGGTTAAAAGGCACAAGAAAAATTTATGATCTAATCAATAAATGCTTAAGAAAAATGAATTTGGCTCCGATCATATGAGAGAAATTCTCGTATCTTTCCACGCTAATCACAGGAAAAAGAGATTCAATATGACTGGCACAATTAGTTTGCTTGTAATCGATAACCATAGAGAATGACCACGCTTCCATTTTGTGAAGAGGACTTCCTCATACTAGCTGAGCTACACACAGTTAATTTAATTACCCAAGTTAACTGGTAGCCCTAATAGAGTCCCTAATTTATCAAATGCACTCAGGCACCACAATTTGAAAACTCCAGTTCACAACCACGATAAAACCAGTATTCAGTGAACAACAACATAAACAACGATAGAAACATCGATAATACTTCAACAAAGGGGTAGTAGGTCAGCAAAGCACGGAGTTTTAGGGTTTTGAAAAAAAAGAACTAAATATCCATAGCATTTACCGAAATGGAAAGAAGGGAAAGGAGGCGAATCGAGCTCAAGCCACATGTTCTTTCCCTTTCGGTGAGCGGCGACTATAGTTTTGCCGACGAGCGCTTCCTCGAAAGCTCTGGACGAGACGCCGACGATGACTTTGGGATCGTCAGCTACCGTTGATCTCTTTATCTTCTTCCCCAGGCAGTGCTCCTCCAAAGCCCGACGCGCGGCCTCTACCTCCGGAAGTTCCGGCATTGTTCGATTGCAGCGGCACCACCACACTACCGTCAGACTGAAAGTGAGAAATGAGAGTGTCGAGGTCCTTGTGGGGATTTCCCGCGTTATTTTGCTTGGAAGGGCAGCGGTGTATGTGTTGCTGGCCACTTTCTACACCTACCATTTGTGTTTCTATACAAAATTACAAATATATTCGCTCAAAATGAGTTTTTATTTTTATTATTAACGAGTTTAACTAGTATAGTGGCGTCCAAATGCACGGGAGCTACGAAAGGCCCAAATGCACGGGAGCTACGAAAAAAATATTAAAAGAACAATTACAATGATAATTAAACATTATTGAACATTTTTATATACGAGATCCTATGTCTTAGAGTTGTTTCATCATCACAAATTAATATTATCAATCTTCTCTTCATCTTCTTCAATGTCATTCTCTCCTTGAGCAGATTTTTCTTTGTCTACATTCTTAGTATTCTTTATTTTTTATGAGTTCGATTCACCGAACAACTCGCTTAGAAAAGTATTCAGCAGTGGCGATTCGTTGGATATTGGTTTCTTTTTTCGACAACCTCGTCATCATCTTGGGAATTGAATTTTTTTTTGGACTGATCACCTCGTCATCATTTTGGGAGTTGGATTCTTTTTGGATTGATCACCTCATCATCACCTTGGGAATTATATTCAATTTTGACTGATCAACCCGTCAACATCTTTCTCTTAGAGTAGTATTTCAGTGGTGGCGATTCCTTTGGAATTGGATTCTTTTTTTTGGACTGATCACCTCGTCACCATCATTTTTTTTCTCGTCATCTATATCAGCTCCCTACAAATGTAAAATAATTAAATAATTAACTTCATATACTTCAATCTTATAAATTTATAAGATTAGTTATTAATTAAAATATAAAAAAAAATATAATTCCTAAATTATAAATTTATATACATTGAATTTTAAAATATAATTATATGTAAGTAGTAGAATCTTTGTAGAATTTTTTTGTCATTTTCTACAGTAAGTTTGAACAATCTAAACATATGTTTATTGTTCAAACTTATTGTAGAAAATGAACCAAAAAAATATATGTTTAGATTGTTCAAACTTATTGTAGAAAATGAAACAAAAAAATTCTACACATATATATACATATATATATATATATATATATATATATATATATATATATATGTGTGTGTGTGTGTGTGTGTGTGTGTGTATTAATAACTACAATTGCTAATGAAAACTTGTGAAGTAAAAGTTTAAGTTGAATAAACGTCAACAACTCAAATACTAATCTAACTACAATTGCTAATGAAAACTTGTGAAGTAAAAGTTTAAGTTGAATAAACGTCAACAACTCAAATACTAATCTCAAACAAAATCCCAAATCGATGAACGCCCTTTAGACGTCGTAGTTGGCAACCTCAATTGTGATTACCAACGCATCGTTATGAGGAGTAGAAATACCCCTCACGTCCTTCGACGCAAACTTTAGTGTCATATGTGGCTTATGATCTTGGACCTCTGCAACTTCTTTCACCCTCCGTTAGCTTTCTTTTTTTGTGCATTATTTAATCGTCATCAGTGGGACCCCTTTGCAATCATTTGAATCACACCTCTTTTGGGTGAATTTTCCTAAGGATTTTCTTGTCGACGTTGCTTCTCGGGCCCTTCCATGTCTTTTCCTTTTCTCATTATCCTTAAAGATGAACTCTTTAAGGTTCTCGACTCTTATCATCCGCTCCTTTTCATCATTCAGCTCTATGCATCTATTCGTGGAATGACCATAATCCTTATGGTACTTACAATATGGGATTCCTGGGTAGGGACGAACCCTCTTTTCCTGCGAATAGGGAAAGATCGGGCGAAGATTCTTGTATCTCCCATTTTCTCCGAAACCTCAAAAACATCCATCTAGGTACTAAGAGGGGTGCATATTGTCCATACTTATATCCAACCTTGTAACGATCATCTGTCATTGATTCCCAACCTATCGAACTTTTATCCTCTAATCGAGACTTCTCTTCATTTCTCTCGGCCTTGGCTTTGGTGTTCCAAAGAAAGTCAGCCTCCATTTCATCCATATTTATGTATTTAGCTAAGCGAGCTAAAAGCTCGTCGTAGGTCATTGTCGATCTCTTAGCCAAAGAATTCCAGCAGGGTCCTGGTCGAAGGTCTTTGGGTAAACCTCCTGCCTTAACCTCTTCCAACACTGATGTCACCTCCACACACTCCTTTGAATATTGAGCCACATATGCTCGTAGTGTTACGCTATCTTTTATTTGCATGTTGATTATAGTCAGTATGTCTTCTAGTGCTTCATCACACAAGAGAACTGATTGATAAACTGTGAGCGGAACCTCTCAAAGATGTAAACAGAGTCGGTCAGAAACTGTTGAAACCAATCTTGTTCTAGCCCCTTTAACGTGGTCAAGAACGCCCTACACCGCACCGCGTCGCTGTAACGGTGTAAAACTGCAATATTTTCAAAGCTCTTCAAATTCCTTGTCGAGTCAGTTGTCCCATCATAAGATAAGCTCAGCTCACAAAATTTAACTAGTAGGTCAGCTTCCAACACCTCCTCAGCAAATGAGTTTCTGTGAATTCTTGGTGCTGGTCTATATTACACTCTAGCTTGCAACTCGTGTAGTTGAGTTGTCATTCTCCCCAAGGTGGCGTTCTTTTTAGGGCGGGACACTGTGCTTGTTGAATTGGTAGATCTAGTTTTCCCCTCCTCAACTCCTTGATCCGCTTGTGGCTGATGAACAAACTGTTTGATTGGCTACAGTGCCCGAGCTTTGGCCATCGCCTCGGTCACGATCTTATCAAATTATGCTCTTGTAAGTTAAACAAGTTGATCCCTTCTTAGAACCTATTGTCCCCCAGGGTTTTCTAATCGATTTCCCTCTTGATCCTGAGGTAGAACATTTCAAAATTTTTGAGTTGTTGTACCTCGGCCCCTCTAATGATCTCATGTTTTGAGTAACAACATGTTGCCCCTACTCCTCTTCTGTTAGTTACTCTTGTGATGGAGCCACTAGTTCCTGCCTTGGGGCGGGTCGTGTCACATGGTGTACCATCAGGGTCAATGTATTGTATGGTCCTGATAGTGTCACATGTGGCGTGACTTGGGTGTTGGCCTGCTTGGACCAACCAGTCAAGGGTCATGTGCCTAGACAGGCTTGGGATAGCCACTCCAACTCCATATTTTTGACAATATTTTCCTTTGAATATGAAAAATAATTATGAAAAACTGAAGTCCTGTTAACCAGTGAAAGACTAGATCTTTCTACATACGACGCCAATTTGATATGCAAATTACTCCAGAAAAATTTGCAAACTGGTGGCACCACGAATCGGTCTTCACTCAAGCTTCGGTGACTTGCAAAATATGTCGAGAGGGATCCCGGCTGTAAGTTGTCTCACGCTCAAGTCAAATATCGACAATAAATTATATGTAGATATTGTTATATGTAATATTCGATAGATAACATAACAAATCTAGTAATCTTATTTTATATCAATGTTATCTTATGACCAAAGCCACCTTATCACTATGAAATACATATTGTCTATATATTGTTTCCTAGTAAAACACGTCTTTAATAAAATTTTCTAATTTCCTACCATGTGAATAGGACTATTTTCTAGTTCGTTAGGACACTACGGGTCCCTAGGTCACCGTATCGACCTCGTGACCCTACAACTTTATACTCTATCAGGTCGCTTAGATGACCTCATTAACCCTCGTCTGACCAAGCTTTCGAACGAGCATCGACCTGCTAGCTGCTGACAAGAATTAACTTGCACCTTGAGTTGTTACACCGAGCTCCTCGACATAGTCAGACTCTATCATTGAGTTGAAAACCATCATGAACAGTTGACTCGAGCTAGTAGTTATAGTGCTAGTAGTTAAGTCTGTCCACCCGAGATGATACGAGTGATGTACATTAGAGAAACCGGAAAACAACAATACTTATTATTCATTCACTTATGCCTATATACAAGAAAATACATTGTACACAAGTAACGACATAATAGGATCTGGGTTATAACTACTAAACCTATAGATAGACAATGCCAACAAGTAATTATTTACATCATTAAGTATTGACTAGTACAACTCCTGTGTATTACACGGGTGCTTGCTATTTTTTTTTCTTAAAATCTAAAATTAATGAGAAAAAATAGTTAAAAATTTAAATACCTTTTATAAAAATATATATTATTATATATTTAGTATGACACTTTTTATTTGTCCGACTTACCTGTGTTGTATTATAATAATTTTTTTAACTTACAATATATAACTACATTAAACGTAAATATATCAATGATAAATAATTTTATTCTTCTAATGAATTTTAATAAATATAATTATTTTTTATTATTATAAATATAAATATATTTTATTTATTTCAATATATACAATATGGATATCAAATCGAAGATCATGAAAATATGATTAATTTAATATATTATATTTGTAAAACCGATAAGAAATACAAAAGTTATCAACTTTTAAAATACATTTACAATTTAATAGCTAACTGAAGGAAACAAATCAAAAGTCATGAATATATTAGCCACATAGGCTCAGCGCATTCGGAAATTATATATAGGGAGGATTTTTGGATTCGAAATAATTATAAAAACCTCAATATTCAATCTTTTCAAAATAAGGGATGATAATTTTACTTCTTTCTATTTATCAAATAGTTAATTATTTATCAAATACTTTGCATAATCAAATAATCCAATCAGTTAATCTATCAGCTATGTCTAATTGAATTAGTTGTCAACAATTCACTATCCATTATGTTCCAAACAAGATGATCAATTATGTACGTAGTTTATGAACTTTTGTGCTTTAGCGTGATCTCGTACTATAGTTTGTTATAATTATTTCTAAACAAATTTTCAATCAAGATATTTTTATCTTAAAATTTTTGCACATGTATTCTATAACGTTGTTTTTTTTTTTTTTTTTTTTTTT